GGAAAAATCAAATTCCCTCCCCCTTGTAAATCGCCTTCAATGGAGGCGATGTCAGACTGAAGGTTCTGGGAGCTTCAGTCTGACACTCAGGTCACGGTGACCTTGACCTTTGACCACCAAAATCGAATCAGTTCACCTTTGAGTACAAGTGAACGTTTGTGCCAAATTTGAAAAAGAAAAATCCCCTAAGGCGTTCCTGTGATACTTTGACAGACAACCTGAAATTATAACGCCTCTGCCTACAGCCGTCACTGGTGTGGAGGCACAACAACAACAACAACAACACCAAAGAACACCACCACCTAAGAACAGACAGAGTGAGCACTGCTCAATGATGTTTTCATTGCAGAGATTTGAGCGCTCTGAGCCGACTGTACCTTCTGATGGAGGTATTTGTGTTTGTAGTGGTGCAGCGGTTCTCCATCCAGCAGGATCTCTCCGTCCTGAGGTTCATACAGCCTCTTCAGCAGGCTGACACAGGAAGTCTTCCCACTGCCGGAGGGACCCACCAGGGCCGTCATCTTCCCCGGCTGAAGCTCCAGAGAGACGGACTGTGCGGAACACGTTGATGATGACCTGGTTAACATCTATTCAAACAGTGATGCTGTAGGACACAGTGTCAGTCTGTAGCACAGTTACCTTTAGAGCCGGCTGAGCTGGTTTATCCTCAGACGCTGAGGGATACGTGAAGGTGACATTTTGGAAAACAACGCTTCCCTTCAGTTTCTCAGGAGCCAACTGTCCCAGCGCCTTACACTTTGGTGTTCTGTCAAGGTAACTGAACACTTTGGAAATGACGCCGACTGTGGACCAAGTATCTCCGTAGCAATACATAATCTCCTGCGACACAATACAAGAGGCATTATATTATATTTCACAACTCAAATACACAGAAGAGACTCTGCCGTGTGAAATATCTGTAACTCACCCTTAGGTTGTTTGACATGGGCTTCTGGTACAAGAAGAATGAAACGAGACTACCGATACTGAGGTGACCCGATGAAATGAGACTGCGGGCCTGCACCAGCATGAGTATCTTTATCCCCAGACTCACCAGCTACATGGAAAAAGTACATATAAAGAAGAACTACTGACATTGTAGTTAAATTTAGAATAAAAGAACAAAAACAGAAATCACACACGCTTAGGGCTGGGCGGTATGACCTAAAATTCATATCACGGTATAAATCGAATCCCTTCACTGTAACTTTATATATCGCGGTATAAATTTAAGTGTAAAAGTTATAATAGAAGTGTTTCTGAATGGGTTTTGTAGTCCCTTAGCAAAGCTAAATTGATAAAAAAAACCAACAACAACAAAAGCAAAGACATAATGTATTTTTTAGAGCATTTATTGTGTAGAATGCAGATCTCAAAACTCAAAACTCAAAATTAAAACCCAGCACTCTATGGTGCAAAATGTCCCCTGGGATCTATATCAAAAGGTAATTTCCTTCTTTTAGCAAAATCCTAAATGACTGAGTTGTGTTTTTTCCACCTGGACCTTTATGCTCTGCCATTTCTCCTCTAATCATCACGCTGTAACCTGTGACAGGCTGTTATGATACCACAACTATCACACATTCACATATGGAGTTTTTTGTGGAGCCCCTAGCGTCACATAGGTTTACATTACCAAAGGTTTATGACAAACTCTCTTGCCGAAAACCAACTCCCGTGTGCGCACGGCGAGAGAGGAGAGGGAGAGACGCTGTGCTGCTGCCAGAGGAGACTCTGAATGAGTTCCCTCTGAGCAGTAAGTCGCTAAAAGAGTCTGAGAAGTCCGGGGCTGTTCATAAGACATTAACTCACTCACTCACAAGTTCTCCAGCAACACATGTTGCACGTGCTACGCTAAATCACGGACGTGAACCAGCTCCTCTTGCTCCGCTGTCTCTGTGCTCGCAGCCATTTTCACACTGAGGCAGGTGCGATGACGTCATCGACGATAGGATGGTAGAGTGCAAATCTCTACCGTGGGCCAAATTTATATCATTTCTACCGTCTACCGCATATACCGTGCAGCCCTACACACACCTCTAAATTACATGCACCAAACTAAAGGGTTTTACTCATATTTTGAGCAGCACATACACATGTATGGAAGACCACTCCTGCCTCTGCAACACAAAAATAGATGGTAAGATAAAATGTTTGAAAAGACAAAAAAATTAAAATTGACGAGAAACTGTGACACAATTTTGACTTTTTATGTCAGAATTCTTAATTGTGCTTATAATTAAAGTCTAAATTTAACTTGCTGAGTGAATTTCATCTCTGCTTTTCGCAGATGATGTGGTTCTGTTGGCTCCATCACACCGTGACCTCCAGCATGACCTGGGGCGGTTTGAGTGTGAAGTGGTCGGGATTAGAGTCTGCACCTCCAAATCTGAGGCCATGTTTCTCTGTCGGACAATGAGTGTTCATGAGTGAGAATAGAATGGAGCATGAGACGGATCGGCAGTTTGGTACGGCGTCTGCAGTGATGTGGGCGCTGTGCTGGACTGTCAAGGTTCAGAGGGAGCTGAGCCAGAAGGCAAAGCTTTCTATTTACTGGTCCATCT